CTGATCAAAAAATGTTACCTTCCTGCTCTTAAAAGCTCTTGTTCTGAATTCTTCAACCTACCAGATCCATCATTTATCGGCAACTTCTCCATCGGAAGGATTTTGTCGCTCTTGATCTTGCTGGGATAATCATCGATAAGCTCCGAGAGCAGAATCTGTTCCTCCAGCTAATAAACCCCCGTTTTCATTAACACCAAATGCAAAACTCCCCTACACTCACTTTGATATCTTCAAATTTAACTGGCAAGGGAGTTTGGGTGGCCTCCGGCAGGCGCGTCTTCACACTGTTATATTTTTCAATCAGTTCAGCTGTTGCGTTGAATTTTAAAGTCAACTGTCCCTGCTCGGTGATTGGACCGTCATAGTCGTAACTACAAGTTTAAGCAGTTAAGGTTAACAGGAGAGCTTCAGCTTAAATCTGCACCTTGTGGCACTCGGTTGCAACCCAGAGTTGTCCAGTCCATAAGTGCTGTCTCCCGCTCCATTAGTGAATCCCCAATTGGTGCTTCCCACAAAAATGTAGATGTTAATCGACGAAGGGTAAGCCAAAATATCTTCCAGGACCGATTGGTATTTTTCCACTGGAACCAGGTTGGCGAAGTGATCTTCCGTGTAGTGGTCAAACCATCCTAAACCCATAAACCTTCAGAAGCCGATCCTCGCAGTTATTCACCTTCAACTTCCCCACCTGACCAATATTCCATAGTCATTGTCGGTTTGTTCACTTGAAGCGCATTCAACTTATCCAGATTTTCCGCTGCATCAGCATTAAAGTTGGCGGTTATCAACAGCTCGCCTGGAAGGGCTCCCTGATCGCCCACGTTCAAGATCGGATCGGATGTATACAGCAGCTCAGTGATGCCCTTTTCTCGGAAAATCTTCAACAGAATCGCACTGCTTCAGGTAAATCGCAATAAATAACAATAAATCAAATCCCCTTACTGTGGCCAAAGATCGCAAATAATCCCGGTCGTTATTCCAGGTGTTCCCATACTCGTTCTCCACTTGCAGCGCTATTATCGGGCCTCCTCTTGGAAACTGAAGCGGCGCAATAATGGAGAACAACCTCTCAAAGTACCGATTCACGTATTCCAGATAAACTGGATCGTTCGTGCGGAGCTTCAAGTCTGGGACTCCCAGCAGCCAACTAGGCAAACCTAAATACAGCCAGATTAATTGATGAGTGATTATGATTAATTGATCAAATTGAGTCGCTACCTCCAAACTCCCATTCGGCACATATATAGGGCCCAGGCCTTAGAAGTACAAACAGATCCTCCTCTTGGGCAAGTTTCAAAAACCGCTCCACATCCAGGAACTTCTCAAAATCTGAACCTCCAGCGCCAAAGTCATAAACACCTACAACTTTTCCTGCTGACTCCGACTACAAAATTAGCGGCCCTTACCTGAATAAGGCTCGTGAAGGTTCCAAGGAACGTAAGTTTCAATGGTGTTCAACCCGGCTGCTCTCATCTTCCTCAGCCGGTCTCTCCAATAATCTGGATGGACTCTGAAGTAGTGGAAAGTGCCGCTGAAAATAGTGATGGTTTTTCCATTGAGCACAAAGTAGGACTGATCGGCACTTAAACCACTCTGAATCCCATCGGAGGTGAAATATTCATAGTTTGTAGGCAAATCGATGCAGGAAACTTGGCTGTAGTGGGCGCAAAGCGCTACCAGCAGTAACAACTTGGACATTGTACTGGTTTCAAGCAACTGAATGGGACTTGGTTGATAACTTGATAAATTTTCAAGATTACGGATTTATATCTGTTCCTGCTAACAAAAATCAATTTCCAATTGTTTTGGCAAATAGAATCGGATAAAGTGCCCGAGCTTATTAAAGCTTAAGTCGCTGCTCTTGGCATTCCAGCTCGAGTGCCTTGTTTGTGAAAAAAGCTAAACAAATTTGGTATGACGTAAATAACTAACAAAACACTTCACAAGATGGAAACAGTTTTCTAATCAATTCACACAATGTAAATTCCAATGAACCTGGTGAAAACATAGGCTGAAGAACCTTTGAAGTAGTCAGCCTGCTTGGGATTTCCCAGGTTTCTCCTCTTGTCACAGAAGAAGAGTACCGAGTGACATGGTCAATATAAGTAAATTGCTGAATAATACTATTTTGCTCCATCCATCGAAATTTTTGCAGCAGCAATGGAAAAACAAACTACTGTAATTTATTAAGACAAACACCACTTACCACTGAAATAGATAAGAGATTCGAAAATAACTATAAAACATTTGAATAATTTTTTAAAACCCAGTAGCTTTTCTACCTGCATGATGGCAAAACTGTCTCTTCTTTGTTTGTCTTCAATTTTGCCGGCTCTAATCTGTTGGGCGTCTTCAGCAGATTTGCCTACAAATTATGAGTATTTTACTGAAGGGGGCATTGTGGCAGGCCTTAACGCCGATCAACGATATTTTAAGCTGAATGAGAAGGAAATTACAATTTTCAGTGGAGCTTTTCATTATTTTAGAGTGCACAGCTCCCAATGGAGGGACCGATTGAGGAAAATGAGAGCCGCAGGCCTAAACACCATTGAGACTTACGTGTCGTGGAACCTGCATGAATATCACTCAGGTTAGTCGCATATTCCATTTGGAAGAAGGTTGCAAACCATGAGTTTTTCAGGGGCGTTTGATTTCGGGCACGGCGGTTCCGATTTTGAGGAGTTTCTGGATATTGCCGAATTCATCAAAATTGCACAGGAAGAAGACCTGTTTGTCCTGGTAAGAGCTGGCCCATACATTTGCTCAGAATGGGAGTTCGGAGGTAAACATCCAGAAATCCATCCAAACCGCAAACGGGTTAAATCTCCATTTTCAGGCCTGCCTAGTTGGCTTTTACGCGAAAAGGACATAAAAGTCCGCACAAGCGATGA